AGATATTGTCAGAAGTGTCCCGCCAAATCGGGAGTCTTAATGATTTGGCGGGCACTGTACAAAAGCGCCGAATATCTTCTTTCACACACGTACGATAATAAACAGCAAGGGCAACGATATCACTTCGCAATTGGACTCGGTTAGGACATGTCACTCTCACGCGGCCCAGGTCATGGGTGATAAAACAGAAAAATTCCAGAAATCCTTTGTCCTCAACTATGATCATTGGTCGGAAGTGACGTGCGATCCACCTTGCGAGAAGTTTGTTGACCTGTTGTTGCTCTTTGGGCGTAGCTGTCCGGAGGGGAATCCTTTTCTCTGTATCAGCAGCATTCGTTAACTCATCGACTAAACGACGAGAAACACGCTGCTTTTGAACGCCACCACCGGCGGTAATAACTAGGTTGCCTTGTTCAAGATAAAGCTCCAGTTCAGTAAGATGCTTGGCTTGCATGTGCTCTACCATTTTGTGTTTTCCAACACCTAATTTGTTTTGCTCTCCTACATAAGCATAGTGCTAAATCACCGTGCTCGTTCGTTAAGTCATTGTCGCGAAGTGTGTCAAACATTTCATCAGGAATGAGACGGGCAAAGTGCCATACATCTTTTCTCTTTTGGTTTTTCATGATGTAAAGCCGCAGACCGGTTTCTTGTTTGACTTGGGCTTCTAGAATGTTGATGTTAGGTAGACATGGTGCTTCTTGGTGAAGTTCTGCTTCAGGTGGCGAGGCGGATTGCTGCTGAACACGACCGGTGGTCGACGTGCCTTGACCAAGTATCTGCACTCCTGCCTGAACTGAGGGTCGATTGATCGAGACAGCGTCGGTTTGACGTCGTTGCTTTCTCGGTGTTCGTTGTATTAGAAAAGCTTGCACACGAGGATGACAACCTCGTGGTTGTGTCCGAGGAGACTCCAGGGCACGCCGACCAGATTGATGCACCCTTCCCGGTGTCTGAGAAGCTTGATGCGGGGCTTGCATCTTGGGGAGTGATGCTACTGGCGGTAGTTGCCAGCACGACACGCAGCATATCACAGCATCAGTGTTGTTTTTTTACGGGGCTTTTTGCTTTTTAAAGTGAAAAGCCTCTGTAAAAAAGTAAAAAGCTGATTAAAAACGTGAAAAATGGAGAGATATCTCAGGTGGCTATGCGGCCAGCTCAACTCGCCGGCCTCGGGCACGAGCAGGCCGCGGTTGGCCGCCAGGCCGGTGAGCACCGCCTGTTCGAAGGAGAGGCCGCGCACGAGGCTAGTCACGGCGGGCTAGGCAACGCAGAAACACCAGCAGACGATCGTCAAGGCCAAGACGTCGGCCTTGTTGTCAGCTACAGCCGCGGCGAGTAGTGAAGGAGAAGTTGATGCAGGGCTGGAGTATGCTCAAGACCAAGATGGCGGTGACAGGGCCCGTGGCCGAGCGGAACTATACCATGGGGCTTAATGCCCAGCCGAGTAGTGCTTGATCATGTTTTACGTGCTGGAAACCGTCCCTGTTCTTCTGCGAAAACCTGTCGGTGCTGGCTGAAATATGCTGCGTGAACAAATGTGGCGGGACTTCATCTCGCTGGAGCCGCGGGTCAAGCAGTCCTGTGTGCGCTACGGCAGCCTGCCGCCTACTCGGCGGTTCGATGACTACTGGAGACACACACACCGCACTGGCCCGCAGTAGTTGGGATTCGTCAGTGCCAAAGTTGGCCCTGCATCAGTACAGTCTTCTCCTTCGAGGGTCGACTTGACGGCTGGCGTTGATGCATGCGTGACCATGCAGCCCAGTACATGCTGCTTCGCTATCGTTTCCCACACATCTGAAAGAAAGTTTACTCTCCCACCACTCCGATCTTGGACAGCTCTAACGTCGTTGCGTTGCTCAATTAGATGTTGCTCTGCATACTCGTCCAGAATACGTCCGCCAAGAATGTGGCGATTTGGCACGGCGCCTGGAAGCCCACAGCGAGCATTCAAAAAACCCAGCAAGCGCCGGAATGAACAAAGCTGCACGAAAGAGTCTGGAAGCAGCGCTTCCGCCTGAAATTCGAGTAGTAGACGCCAAAAATTCATTAGTTCAACAGGTGTGAATGCCGGGGGTGAAGTACGTTGGTGTTTGTAGGCTTGCCCGTGTTCACCAGCTTCAGCTCGATTTTCATCACGTTGGGCCGGCTTTCCCGTAACGCGAGCGTAGTACAAGCACTTGTCCAAGTGCTTCTCCCAATTTTCTTTACGCCCACGGATGTGGGTAGGAAATGGAACGGTTGTTTTAGCACTTACATGGGCGGCGTAACAAAACTTGCACACAGTCCACCACTGTGTGCTATTGCAATGTTCATTGAGCCGGTAAAAGTTCATGCCAGCAGGACCTGGTGGACGTCCACGTTTGGACCCGTCATCTTGCAGCCCGGGTAGGAGCTCCATGAGGGTAGGAGTAGATCGGCGGCGGCGGTGTTAATGCGTACGGTGAGGATTCTTCTGTTGTGAATCAAGCTCTCGGTAGTCCCCGGTTGAAGCAGGCTTGGATCCTATTACGTCAACAAAAACGTAAGATCCCTCCGTAAAAATGTTTTAATTGCGCGCATAAAACGCTTCTTACGTTTGAAAGTAAAAATGTAAATGTAGAAATGACAACACTGACAGCATGTCCAGAAGTAGCATGAATTTGAAGTCTAGGGGATTGTGAGGGTGCAGACAGGGGATTCAAGGGAATCCGAAGGTCTTTAGAGGTACCCCCGGGGCGTAGGATAGGGGGTGGGTTCGAGGGGGGTTCGCAGATGAACGTTCTCAGCTCTATACTGCGGGGCTTTGCGGTCGGCTCGGCTAAATTGAAAGTGATCTATTACCAGCATAAGTAAACTTTTGATTTTATCACCCTGATCATTAAATACAAAATAATTAAGTTAAAACTAGAAAGATATTTAATATCCAATGATTTATTGTATTAGCTCAATAAATCTATTTAAGGGAAGTGGTCAATTCGAGGCCGGTTTGCAGGTGCAATTTTTTTCGGAAAGGCACTGCGTCGGACTCCAGTCTCGGAAGTCATAAGTTTTGACAGTTCTGGAAGCCTCCAGAATCTCTCTTTTTTTAAGGAGGTGATTGGCACATAATATGACAGTGTTGGTCGCTGTATTGTTACTTAAAGAAACCACTGGAATTGTGGCGGAGGTTCTTTTAAAGGCCGGAATTAGACTTGTCTTGAGTATATTCATTGGTACACCAGCTTTAGGGGTAGGCCTACTAGAACGGTGCATATCGGTCGTACTTAAGTCATTATCATAGGTTACTAGGTTTGAGAGGTGATGCCATTTTGGAAAGGACTGTATTTCCAGAAGCACGCGGACACAGACAGCGCTCGAAATGTCGAGCGGGGCGCCGGCCCTGCTCGAGTCCCCAGAGCTCGCTGCCACCCGGAGAACCTCGTACGGCTGCTCATGCGTCATGGCTAGCGACTCCCACTTTTTGCTGAAGCCAAGACCTCCTGTGTGATGTAAAACCGCCCGGCAGGGTGGGGGTAACGCTGCCGGATTGGCCCACACGTTCGCCGCAGCCCAGCAAACCCACTTCCTGCGCCTTTCGTATGATCACGGCCCGCTCGACTGGGTGGCCAATGAGCTGTCGTCCTACCACCCAGTCGTATAGATGGTCTTCTGCTGCTTTCGGTAAGAACGTTTTGGGCCCAGGCCGTCCGGCTTTCAGTGACTTTCCCTCCGCTAGTGCCTGTAGCCACTTCCGAATGGTTCTCTCATGAACGCCAGTAACAGCGGCGACGTCAACCACTGTACTGCCGGCTTGAACTTGAGCGACTGTTGCTTGTTTAAAGTCCACCGTGTAGGTAGGTGCCATTGAGCTGGTTTGGAAACGAAAGCTGCTAGAGTAACGCTGCTTCCTGGCAGTGATCGCTCTCCCGCCAGCAGTTTGGATTTCGCGCCAAATCTGTATAAATTTCTGTGAGTTTCGTACTTAGTTGTACATCTACAAATGACATGCTGGGAATCGTAATACAGCGTATGCATTGGCAAATATCACACCGGCCTCGAATTGGAAGTTTCCCTTAAAATAAACTGTTTGACCTCATTTAAAGTGATGAGCTCGATTTCAATACTTTTGATTTTTCAGTATAATTATTATTGGTATGTAAAGTGTTTTATTATATTGTAAAACTTGACGTTAGAAAATCAATAATTATATTGTTCACAGTATTGAAATAAACTATTATTTTCCTATCCTGCCTGTTGGAAGTGCATGCAACGTCGTCTACGATGCCATGAGATCCATTCCACCCAATATGAAATCAAAACCAATTTGTCATGCTTGGTTATCATGAACGCTAGTTTCTAGAAAGATACTCACATGTTAGACAAGAATTCCGACTATCCAAGCAATCATTAGCATACCTTCGCTGCCTGGTGACTACGCCATACAGTCACAGTAGCTTCGGCTTGCTCGCCAAGCTGCTGACAGCGAACAATTCGCCTCCATCGCAATAGCGCACATCGCTGACGCTGTCGTTGATTGACAACACGCAACCGGCCAAGAACCACAGATGAATAACTGCAGAACGCTCGCCACGCTTTAAAGCTGCATTCGACCTGACCCCAGAACTTGTTAAGCAGCAGCTTGCGAAGCAGATATCTGTGGCGGTGGCACAAAGACCCATCATCTAAGAAGCACGACATCATCCAGAAGACTGTACTTCTATGAAGCAAAAGCAGGAATCTGCATCATCGCACGTAGCAACCGACGTGAAGGGATGTTTATTTAGTGAATGGGATGCGTCGGTCTTCTACGCTTGTTTGTCTTAAAACTTAGACACGTCACGACCGACGAGAATCGCCTTGAGCCAGTCGAGCGGCACCTGCAGACGCAGTCGCCAGCTTCCTAGCTTGGTCAGATACGCACTACGCCAGAGGAACCAGGCCTTCCAACCACTTAGAGTGATTCGGTCATCGTCACGAGGATGTGCCTCGAAAAGCCCCTCGTAGGAACCGAGATACGCCATCATGCCCTTGCTTTGGAAAGCGTACGGCTTGGCCGGCGCTGGATTCTTACCGCGAAGCAAAGAAGTAAGGTAGTTCGCTTGAGACTGCGCCTTCTGGGCAGTAGCAGGCAACGGGTAGTCCAAGATCTCGGCACAGTCACCGATAGAGAAGACGTTCGAGCGGCGAGGCATCCCCCATGGGGCCTTCTCTTCGACCTCAGCGGCTCCCAGTACCTGGCAGTACTGATTAGTGAGAATGTTGCCACGTTTGCTCTTCTCGAACACCGTTAATGACTTGGTGAGCTCGTTCGGACCCACTCCAGCGGTCCACACGACCAGACCAGCAGGGATCTTCTCGCCACCTTCAACCGTGACGCCCTCCGCTGTGACTTCAATGCAGTTTTTCTTAACGATCTTCATCGTGTTGCGTTTCTGGATCTTACGCAGTGCCACAGCACGCAGATGCTTGTCGAAGCCATTGAGGATTTCACCGGAGTCCACTAGCGTCACACCCAAGTGCTTGGACGTCTGTGGGTACTTGTGTACCAGGTCCTGGAGCACCAAATCGTACAATTCGGCACAGAATTCGATGCCTGTGGGGCCGCCGCCTACGACTACAAAGTGTAGCAGACGCTTCTTCTCTTCAGGCGTGATACCAGGTTGCGTAGCTGCTTCAAAGTTCTCTAGAATGCGGTTACGGATCCTTTGTGCATGGTGGATCTCCTTCAAGAAGAAGGCGTGCTCCTCCACTCCAGGGAGACCGAAAGTCAGCGGACGAGAGCCACAAGCCAACACCAGGGCGTCGTACTTGATGTCGTACTTGCGGTGACGACTCTCAGCACTGATAGCAGACTCGACGTTCAAGAGCTTCTTCTCCGGGTCAATGTTCTGCACATTGGCGAAGTGGAAGTCGCTCTCGTGACTGAACATACTGTCGCGCAGAGGCTCAATGATGGAGCGGAATTCTAGGGTGCCCACTGTTGTGCTGGCCAGTAGCGGCGTATACAGGAAGTGCTGCAGATAGAAAAACGTCAGATATTTAAGTTTTTACGAGTTGACAAAGTGAGATTGTGGACGTACGTTACGCTTGGAGACGACGACGAGGTCCACAGCTCGGCCCACGGTCTCCTCGATGTCGACGAGATGCTTACGGCATTGCGTGAACATTTGGTAGCCGGCCCAGCCTGTGCCCACGATGACGAGCTGGAAGTTCGCAGGCTGCTGGGTCTCATCCTGACGGGACTCCAGTGTCGACGATGCACGCTTCCACCACGTTGTACTGGTGCTGCGTGCAGTCTTGGACACGGTGGCGAGCTGGCGGGCCCACATCGTTTCGGTTTGGTCTTGCGGAGATTGGGGGGAAGATAAAGTGACGGTTCGCACATTGGGCTTGTCGCGTTGGTACCCAACGTGGGGTCATCCTGCGCTGGATGATGCCACGCACGTGCTGCTATTGGCTGGTTTAACAAATGATTCGTGTCGCCGATAATCTCGGATTATGGGCACTAATACGTTAGCTGAGAAATACCGGTTGAGCTGATGAAAGCGAAGCTTGATCTGCGTGCCTGCACGCGCAGGCTGCGCAGCGCAGCGTTTATATAGGTCTAGGCATGTGGCCAGGGTGAAGGAGTTTGCATGCTCACAATGTGTGCATATGTCATACAGTACTTAGTACGGAGGAAAGACGCTTGCGGTTTCCATTCGGCAAGTGGCATTTGTGCGATACAGCAACATGATGACGATGCCATCAATCTGCGACCAGCTAAACGAGCGTAAGCAATTCTAAAATATCGCTGAATTTAGTCGACTAAATTCAAAAGCTTCTCCGGGCGCCAGCAGTGGAGAAGCTCTGGATTTTTTTGGCGCTTTTTGGAGTTTATAAGAATGGATACATCGACGTAGGAAGATGAAGTAAACCTCAGTTAATATGTATTTGCTCGCACTCCTTCTGCTCGAGAACTATCCACCAAGCTAGTTGGTTGATTATTTGTTGCTGTCGAAGCAAAATGAAGACATTTATCGCCGCATAAAGAATTTGGCGATCTTTTCACGATAAAACTCGAAAAAAGGATTGAAATTTCGCTGGAAGAGCTTCAAATTCTCGACAA